AGGCTCCTGATGTCTAACCTAAACCTACCCTCTGCTAGCTTGTGACCGTTATTCCTGGTCACTCCTGGCCGTGCTCGGGGGAACAGGGACTCCCCCAATGCCTGCTGATCCCCCCTAACCAGTTTGTAACAGGTCACAAGATCCCCCCTCAGCCTTCTCTTTTGGAGGCTGAACAGGTTCAGGTCCCATAGCCTCTCCTCGTAGGGCCTGCCCTGCTGTCCCTTGATCATACGAGTGGCCTCCTCTGGACCCTCTCGATGCTGTCCACATCCCTCTTGAAGTGCGGCGCCCAGAACTGAATGCAGTACTCCAACTGTGGCCTGACCAGTGCCGCACAGAGGGGGAGGATCACCTCTTTGGACCTGCTTGAGATGCATCTGTGGATGCATGACAAGGTGCGGTTGGCCTTCCTAACTGCCTCCCCACACTGCCGGCCCATGTTCATTTTGTTTCCTTCACATGCTCTCCTTTCCACTAATATTAAATAAGAACTGAACCTGAAGAGATTGAGATTTAAACTACTTAAAAGAAGGCAGGCTTGGCAGGAAAAATACCAACAAATTGTAGAGAAGCCACTGGTGATTTAATCCCATAAACTCGTATCATCTCATTTGATTACACTGGGTGTGTCTACACATGCCCCTATGGCATCATTGTTACTGCGCCTTCATTTAGTACTTCCTTTAGGGAGTATTAAATCGCGGCGCAGTAACAGCCATTACTGTGCAGGACTGGCAATGTTACTTTTAGCCGCTACATAGCCGTAGCAACACATTGCTATGGTGATATAGCTGCAGCATCGCAGTTTGTGCCCGCTAAAACTACATCACAGTAGTGCATTGCTACAGAGACGTAGCATCTTGTGCAGACGCACCCACTGAGGAAGATGAATTAAGCAGGTGCCTTAAAGGGGATGACTTAAATGCATTAATTATATAATTAATGCATTTATATTATATATATATATGAACATGAAAGGTAAGAATTTGCGTGTGTGTGATCTCTTTTATTGGACCAACTGCACAGCTGGGAGAAACCTAGACAAGCTTTTGAATACGGTACATTTTCTTCAGTGTGAAGCTATTCTTGGCTGTGTCCATACAAGAGTGAAAGTGTTATTGCAGCTCTTGTAGGCATGCCCAACATCACTTCAAAACACAATGGCTAAGGTACTAATAGCAGTAAAGCTATGACACCACAGAGTTCAGTATCTAGGTATTTACATAGCATCTTGAGCAAATTAGGCAGCCTGCACGGAGCTTCAGGCTAGCACAGGTGCAGTTAGGTTAAAACCTGCTCAGTTATGTGCACAGTCATGACAGTGCTGACAAATCTTAAGGGAGATGTCAAACATAGCCCAGGGGCTGGATCCAGCCCAGGAGCTGTATGACTTGACCTGGGGATCTTGGACCAACCCCTCATGGGCAGGGCAGCACAACAGGATGCATACAACATGTGTGCTACAGGCAGCACTGGAGACTGACATAGGGTGCAGTGCCATGTTTGGTTTGGCCGGATGTCTGACACCTCTGTCTTAAGAGATAAGCAGGAATCCTGGTTTTCTCTGATAAAAAAATCCAAAATGTTCTGATTTAACACCCCCACTTCACTTTTTTCTGTGATTAGGTGAAACACTACACACACACACACACACACATGTGTACGTGTGTGCGCATTTGGGGGCAGAGGGGGTTAATCAGAAAATTTTGGATTTGTTTTTAAATCACAGAAAACCAAGATCTCTGGAGATAAGCATCTGCAGAACTTAAACTGTTGTTAAATAATCTAGCCTTTGTGGTGTAAACATAGACTTCCAAGTGTGAGTGGCCTATGAAGATACAGGTCCATGGCTACTACTCAAAAACCTATTACAAGAACAGGAAATCTAATAAGAAGGCTGTCAGTTCAGCTGATACTGCCTGTGAAGGCAGTGAGCTAGACTAGACTTATGACAAGCATGGAGTAATCAGGGATCCTACTTCATTATCACTTCTGCATCAGCCAGGGAACTAAACAAAGACAATCCAGTACAGACATCCAACCAAACACTCAGTAGATAAAGGGGTCTCAAGGAAGATGGAAACAACTCTCTCTCTCAACAGCAGAGTAGGGCACCCCTCCACCACTTCTTAAAATGTGGTGTCACCCCCAGTTGAGAACCACTCAGCATAATTTTTGAGGTTAGGTAGTACTGAAAAAATTAGTGCTGTCCTAACAGGTGCTTCTCAGCCAGGCATTGCTGCCTGCAGATAAAGCCACACTGCATGCCTGCTGCACAAGCAGCCTGGAAAAGGCTGTGTGGCATGGTGTACACTCCTCTTGTATTAGGGCTCTCTGACAACCCGAAAGTCGACAGGACTGCCGGCATGCGCTGTAGTACTCCCTGGTCCCACCCTAAGCTCCTCCCAGAAACAGGCATTTGAGACAGTTTCACCTGCGAGCCTCTGTTTCTAGGAGCAGTGATGGGGGTGCTTAGTGGTAAGGGCTACAGCCATCCTGTCTGCTTTTAAGATTACCAGAGAGCCCTAATGCAGGAGGAATGCATGCACATGGCACTAGCCTGTGTGCAGGGCAGTTTTACCTGGCTGTAGCTGCAGCAGCGGCATCGGTGGACAAGTTGCAGAGTCCAGCAGAGAGCAATGAAAATGGTTTGGGGGCTGAGGCATATGACTTCTGAGGAGAGGCTGAGGGAGCTGGGTTTATTTCGTCTGAAGAGCAGAAGGCTGAGGGGGGATTTGATAGCAGCCTTTAACTACCTGAAGGGGGCTTCCAAGGAGGATGGAGCTAGATTGTTCTCAGTGATGACAGATGACAAAACCAGGAACAACAGTCTCAAGTTGCAGTAAGGGAGGTTTAAGTTGGATATTAGGAAAAACTCTCTCACTAGGAGGGTGGTGAAGCACTGGAACAGCTTTCCTAGAGAGGTGGTGGAATCTCAGTCTTTGGAGGTTTTTATGACCTGGCTAGACAAAGCCTCAGCTGCAATGATACCATGGGAATGGTCCTGCACTGAGCAGGGGCTGCACTAGATGACCTCCTGAGGGCCCTTCCAATCCTAATGTTCTGTGATCCTATGACACGTAGCCACCGGCGGGGCTGGCTGGGGCACAAGGGTGCTTCAATGCTGGGGATGCCTGATGGCTAACCCCACCCTGAAGCACCCTCGTGCTCCAGTCAGCCTCTCCACAACACGTTGAGCTTGATCAGAGCAGCCCCAGGTTGGCAGGCTGACCCCCCAGGGCATAATGTAGCCATTACAGTTACAGATAACAGAATGTAAAGTGCTCCATCTGGGGAGGAATAATCTGCAACACACTTACAGGCTCAGCAGTCCTCTGCTTGCCAGCACCACAACTGAATGAGACCTGGGTGTCATGACAAACAGCAAAATGAACATGAGCTACCAACGCAATGCCATAACTGGCAGAGCTAATCAAACGCTGGCATGCATCTACCGAGGCACCTTGAGCAAGGCTAAGGAAGTCATCCTCCCACTCTCCTCGGCCTTGGTGAGACCGCAGCTGGAGTACTGCACCCCGTTCTGGGCACTGCACTTCAGGAAGGATGTGGAGAAGCTTGAGACAGTCCAAAGGAGGGCCACACGCATGATTAGAGGCCTAGAGACCAGGTCATTCGAGGACAGGCTGAAAGACTTGGGACAGTTCAGCCTGAAGAAGAGAAGACCCAGATGGGACTTGATGGCAATAGGTATATCAGAGGCTGGGGGCGGGCATCTATTCACCAAGACCTCCCAGGGGAGGAAAAAAAATAATGGGCACAAGCTGATTGAAGATCGCTTCAGGCTTGACACAAGAAAAAACTTCTTTACAAACTAAGTGCCGAGGGTTTGGAACAGGCTGCCCCCTTGTACAGTGGTACAGTCACCTACACTGGCAATCTTCAAAAAGCGTCTTGACGCCCATTTTGCTGGGGTCATCTGATCCCGGCAGTCCTTCCTGCCCAAGTGCAGGGGGGCTGGACCCAATGATCTGTAAGGTCCCTTCCAGTCCCTAACATCTATGAAACTATGAATTGTTGACAAGACTTACGTTCCTACATAACTTTTAATAAAAGAGAACTTCATAAAAACAAAATGGCAATGAAATGCAGTAAAATGTAGGCAGTACAGGTTATAACACATACTTATATGCATATGTGGGGGGGGGTGTTTATTTTTTAAGTTGCAGCACTAATGAATGACTCTCTTGGTCCATCTATCCTACAAGCTTTAGGGGGTTTGGATACCTTGTCGTAGTTAACATTTTGTTTTAAATGAACTGGGCTTTGTTTAGCAACCTTGATTTGGAAATTCAGACTGGGTGTAGCAGGACCACCCTGCAGTGTTTGTCAGGAAGAAGTGGGGAGTGGCATGACCCTGCTTTGCTAAGACTGCACGTATCTTCATTCTTACATTTTCTGGAACTTCTTTTCTTTTTCTCAAGTCTCCCATGTGAAGTGATTCTATAAATAAATGCCAGATTTCCTGCGTTTTATTTTTATGTTAACAGCTAATGTGTACTTGTAATCTTCCATGCAACAATGAAGGGCTCTCCCTGACCTCTAATATACAAATGGATTACAGATCACTTGTTAGGTGTTCAAAGGTGACATACTTAATTGCTGTGAGAGAAAAAGATGCATTTTATTCATCCATTAACATTTGAACAATTAAAAAAATGTTATATAAAATATGCTAGGTATTCTGTTAAACTTAGTCAGCAACAAATCAGTCATGTACAATGATTTGACAGCTAATAGCAAAACAGCCCTTTGAATCTTTGCACATCCATGGAAAAACACTCAACAAGAGAGTGTGTAAATGTCCAGTTCATTAATTCTGCATAATAGTTTATTGACAGCCATTTCAAAGCCCAATTTAAGCAAGCTCAGGCTGACTGAAAATTTGGCTGTGGTAAAGAACACTACAGCGCTGAGATAAACAGTACTAATGATGAACCAGTAGGAAGTGCTTAGGCCTCTATATCATATATACTGCTTACTGGAAGTGATGTATTCGGGGGCCTTTCCAGGACTAAGTGGCACTGCCTCTTCATAGTAGCCTTCTGGAAGGGATGATGTTGGTAATGGTGGAGGCCCATTATCTGGGGGCTAAATTTAAAAAAAAAAGGGAAAGAGAGAGATTAATTAAATTAACTAGATTAAATGTGCACCTAAGATATCTGGACACATCAAGTAATATTTATAATATTTAATATCCCAAGTTCATAAAAACTGTCATATGACTTTTTCCAATATCAATTACATATAATGGTAAAGCTCTAGAAAAGGGAAGTTGTGCTGTTTTGTCCTAAGGAAATTTTTGCTGTGTGGCAGCTTTTAAAAAGGAAATAGGTCGGAGTTTCAAGCTGCCAGCACATTGTTATAATAAAATAATAACCAAGTTGCGGTTGAGATTTGCAAAGCAGAAGAGGGAATTTAGCCATACTTCTTCCACACTACAGGAATATGCTCTGAAGCCTCAAGGCACCCAAATCTGTTCTCCTCTCTTGATGAATAGTAGATTACTCTGTGAATCCTTCAGCTGATTCAAAGGAAGTATCATCATGAATGATAACAGAATCAGGCCCGAGGAAAAAAGCTATATTAAAAAGGCCTTCTATTTAGCTATTAATACCAGAATTAAAAACTACTATAATCCATCTGCAGTAAAGCACCTTAAGAGGGAAACTTTTTTTTGGTTTAAAGACTACAAATCCCAGCTAGGTAAAGGGACCTGTGCAGGTAGATGCTCCCTATGCATGAAGTACACTTAAGGATTTCTCTGGACAGAACATTTTACAACATCAGGGCTTAAACTACTATGAGGATGCTATACTTCAGACACAAATATTCATATTATAAAAGGAGACAATCACATTCTCCTTTAACATAGTTAATGAAGGATTTCTTTAGAAGATAATGAATTCCTACAGTACAGACCAAGTTAAGTTTTCAATTACATTAAACTTCTGAATGAATAATTTAATTTAAGGAATCTTAAGTGTAGTGCCTTTTAAGAAG